ACCCATGGTCTGGGTTTTTCAAAACCAGTCTGGCCGGCCGCCAGGTCTGGGTGGGGGCGGTGACTGACAGGCTGGTTATTGGAAAGCTCCCATCATGAAGCCTAGGAATTTTGTTTGGTTACCATGGTGACCTTCACTACAAGCGCACTGACTAAAGCACAAGGAATCTGTTACCTAAAACCAGGGCCCCTGGAGCCCCAGCTTCAGGAGCCATGCTTATCAGTGGCCTGTTCCCCTTGACCCCATACCCCTGCCCCCAGCCCTCCCCAGCCGAGCCTCCCAGCTGCCTCCCGAGGCCAGGACTAGCACAGGCAGCCGGGAGCTCACACAGGAGGCGACCACGCACATTCCCGCCCGCCCGGGGCCTGGCTTGGAAACCGGCTCTAAATAGGGAGTTTGCTGCCCCCCTGAGGACCCCTGCAGGCCGGCCAGGGACGGCCCGGCCAGCACACGTGTCCAGGGCTTAGTGGGAAGCCCGCAGGATCTCAGGATGCTGCGCAGGGTGTCTGGTTGCCCCCGTGCCAGGTTCACGCTGTCCCCGCGGGGCTGTCGGTCTCTGCCTCATCACGTTTCTGCCTTTTAAACCCAAGCTCCGTTAACTAAAGGTCATCCCGCAGCACGGAAATCAAGATCCTCTTTGCTTTGCTTTCTAATCCCTGAATTTAGGGGGATTTTCAGAAGTTCAGCTCCACAAGGGCTGGGTTTTTCTCCAGCACTGTTCAGCCTGCCTGGCGGAACGGTGGCCTCCCGTGCAGCTAAGGAGCTCCCACACCTCTCACGGGGCCTGCCGCCTCTGCCTGCGCCTCCCCCAGCTCTGCGCCCACCACGCGGCCCGCCCTCGGGTCCCACGCTGCTGGTGCGCTGCCTTCCAGACCCCCTCCACGCTGCTGCCTTCGAACACGCTTCAAAACCCACCGCCAGACCTTCTTTTGTCTGAGTCTCGCCACAGGCCTTGGAGGCAGAGGCCGGTAGGAGAGATGTCAGGGTGTGGCATTTGAGCAAGCCCCTGGAGGTGGCACAGGTGAGAGACAGCACGACCGGGAGGGCAGGAGCCCCACTGTGACCCTCACGTGGGGAGAAGCTCACGTGGAAAGGGCTCCATTGCGCCCCCTGGCCCCCTCCCCGCCGCCCCGTGCCACACCCTCTCCTCCCTCGACACTGGCCTTTCAGCCTCTTCCTTCACTAAGACAGCCGCTGGGAGCCAACGCCCGGGCAGGTTCTGCAGAGGACGAGAGCCTCTGAAAAGCCTCAGCCCCTTAGAGCAGCCTTCGGGGCCGGGGCGGGCGGGGGGGCCCCCGGTGGCATACAGACCTCGGGCTCTCACGTGGAGACCTCGCTGGGGACACGGAGGCCAGGCTGAAGGGGGATGGGTTTTGTTTTGTTTTGCGGCCATGGTGTTTACTGGACCAGCTGGCGAACTATCTGCTGTGGCAACAGCTGGAGCCGCACACCGCTTGTTCCGGCGCAGGGAGCAGCTAGAGAAGCAGGGGGCAGTCTCCGTGGAAGAGCAATGACATTCTTCCGTGATCCCTGGCCGGTAACGGGCTCAGTGACATTTCCTGCTAATCCACGCGTTTCTGTACTCTGCCGTCCCATCTGTGGGGAACCAGTCGTGCCTTATTCCCAAAGAGCTGTGGTCACGCTCTATGGTCACTCCGACAGAGCTGTGTGGTCGCGGGATTTTCCACACCCCCTCCCAACCTCCTGTATATATGTATTTTTTTTAAGGGTGGATTTTTTTTTTTTTTTTAAGATAGCAGAAATGTATTGTCTCACAGTTTAGGAGGCCAGACGCACCCTTTATTTATTTATTTATTTTAGTTAGTTCTGCAGCCTTTTAGGCCTGGCTTCAATCAAGACAGGGGTCCTCATAGCCCTGGAGGGGGGGGCTCACGGTGGCTTTGAGATAAAGAATCTGCCACTGCTTCTCTATCGCTACTGTCCCCACACGGGCAGGCTTTGCAGAGTGAGGTACCACGGAGAATGGGATGCTCTGGTCCCCTTTTTGCAGTGACATAAAACAGAAGAACCCCAGGGCTGGGACTCAAACTCTTTCCCTCCTTAGGCTCGGACCTCAGAGAGGTCTCCCTGCTGCCAGCCCCATGGCCCGAGCTCCTGATGCCCTAGCAGTGACCTTGTGGTGTCTGGATGGGGCAGCTCTGTTCTCATGCAGAACCTGCCCCTTCAGAAGGCTCCTGCTGGCAGAAATAGGGACACAGGTGACACAGGGGGCACAGTTATCCTACAAATTGACCATGAACACAGTCGGCACTGGGGAGGGGCTTGTCACCTGTTTTGGGTTTAGGGTCCCATAGAGGATCTGGTGAAAGCCATCTCCCTGGACACAGGCGCAGAGGCACAACTGTTAGGGTTCAGGTCTAGGCATTTGTGGAGGCCCAGAAGCCCACCCATGGGACTCACGAGGGGTAGTCACCAACCTCGGCAAGGACGACCTCTCCCCACCCCCCACAAAGACACTTTCAGCGAGTGAAGCATCTCCTTGTGAAGGAGTCGGCCCCTGAATGAGGTGGGGGCGGGAGGGAGGCAGCACCCTTGAGGGGAAGGGCACACACACTACCGACAAGGGGGAGGAAGACTGGGGAGAAGGGGGCTTCCTCACCCAGCCCAGGAGCCACCTCCCCTGAGGTGGGCTGGGGGTTGAGGGAGAGCCAGAGCGCCGCCCTCCAGACCCAACACTCCCCCCTCCCCGACAAGCTGTGGGCTTGTCAAAATTTTCAAAAAGTGCTGTTAGCCTCCCCACATCAGGCCAGGGGACGTGATTCTGCCAGCAGAAAGCATTTGGCCCAAAAGTTAGGAAGAGACACTGCAGCAAGATGCCAGACGCTGGAATGGGAGGCTCCTTGCTGGGACTGGGGGCCCGAGGAAGGGCCAGGCGGGCAGCATGAGAATCCCCTGCCCCGTTCCCATCAGGACAGCTCTGTTCGCCTCTGCCCCCAGATAGTCTCCACTGGCAGGTAACATTGCACTTGGGAAAAGGACTTGCTGGTCAAACAACATCTGATGGCAGGCCCAGCCTCTCTTTCTTGGGACACACACTCTGACCTGGGGTAGGCCCAGAACCCCTCCCCACTCTAGGAGTCTAAGATTTTCCTCCGCACAGTTTTTGTTTCCATCAAAGCCTAACTGACAATAGAGTAAACACACACACGCACGCATGGCTGGCAGCAGACCGTGGGTCAGACTCTGCCTGACAGTCGTGAGAATGGAGCTTGGAAAAAAGCGAGGTAACTGGTACTGGGAGATGAGGACCTTTGTCCCGTGTATATTTTCACTAGAAGTGAAAAAAAATAAATTTCTACACAGTAGGTGTTTCTGTATGGTGCTTGGGATTAATGAGACAAGGGAATTCATCTCTTGTCCACACACACTATTTTATCTGTTTTAGTATTCCCTAAGCTACCTGCCTTTACAAGGGAACTGATTTCAACTTTAGTAATCTCCCAAATGCGGGGCTGAGGCCAAGAGTCGGGGCCATCTCCTGAGCACAAATGGGCTCTGTCGAGTTGGCCATGCATCAGCTCTGCTTACACCTGGCTGTGGGCACCTGAGCCCCACCTGAGACAGGACGGCAGGAGGACAGGGAGGGTCAGGAGTCAGGGTGCTGTGGGCAGAGGGTCAGGGTGGACTGGGAGAAGCAGGGCTGACCTGCAGGGGGAACGCTGCCCTTTGCTTTATTCACTGGGGCCTGCTCTTCAGTGGGGCACACTGGGGAGCTTACCATAAGGGCTCTCTGCTTCTCCCAAAACACCCTTCTTAGCCTTGGTGAGAACAAAGCCATCCTGTAAGGTCTGCAGGCAAAGCTATCCATGGCATCCTCTGAAGGAGGCCAATGGCACAGGAAAGCCAGCTCTGTCCCCAATGAGCTAGGGACGGACAGAGGCAGATGCCCAGGCTCCCCACATGAAGGGAACCTCCTTGGGCTGGGATAATTGCAACTTCCCTTTATCACCTAACATGGCTGTGGGGCCCACCAATTTCCCCTGATGCTTTGTGAGCCCGTCTCCATTACCAGTGTGAGCCCCCCTCCAGGGAGCCAGCACCACGCTTCTTTCGGCTCTCTGAGGCAAGACAGCCCCTGGCTGGCTCTAAATAGCCCTTCTTCAGACCCGAAGGGGGAATATGGCGGGAATGGGGGTGCTCAGGGGCCCCTCATCCTGGGCTCACAGGGATTAGAGAAACAAGGTCTATTATACCCAGTGTCACACGCCTTGGGGGAAGAGGGCAGAAATCCAAAGATGACCGACCTCCTCATTCCCTCCTGCAGAGCAACGCACCCTTCTGCCTCATCTGGCCCAGCACGGCTCTTGTTCCCCAGTGCCCTGGTTGGGTGGCAGTGGGTCCTCCATGTATAGGTGGGGGCAGGAAAGTCTCATGCTGCCACACCCACCATGGCCTGGGCCAAATGCAGCATGAGCCCTGCTCTAAAGAGAGGGGCATCTAGGCAGTGTGGCCTGGTGGCAGTGGGGGGGGATGTGGAGTTGCTGAGGATGGAGGGAGAGGCCAGGACTGCTCTAGAAGGAGAGAACCCCTTTCCCCCAATGCCCATGGCCTGCTTGGAGGCAGGGAGATGGCTCACTTGGCCCCCGCCAGCCCAGCCAGCGTTAGAAGCTCATCCTTGGCTGGCTGTGCCAGGGTTATGATTAAGTTACACAAGTTAGTGTCCCCATGAGGCTCAAATGCAGAGCCCAGGGTGGGGTGGAAGCAGTTCGAGCACGTGCATTTGAACACAGTCTCCTCTGTGGTCCACGTAGCCCCCATGGGGCCCGCAGCTGCTGCACAGAGCCACTCCCCGCCGGCGCGTCCTGGCACTCAACGCCAGAGCCCTTCTCTGACCCCATGGGGCCTCGCCCCACCTTGACCCTCCAGCCAGGGGGTGTGCATGCAGTAGGCACTTAATCAGTGTGTGGCCGGGCGGGGGTATGTGAGGGCACCTGTGTCTGCGGCAGGCCAGCCCCCAGCCGTGTCCACAGGGAACTCACTTGAAGTTCTCGGGATACTCCGTGATGGCCATGTTGACGACGTCCAGGGCATGCTGGTAGTGCTTCTGGGCCGAGAAGAGGAGCGCCAGCAGGTGGAGGGCATTGGCATCATCCCGGCACACTTTCAGGACCTCCTGCAGCTGCTCCATGGCGCTGGAGATCTGCCCAAGAAGACTGCCAGCTTAGTGACCTTCTCCAAAGCCCAACCTCCCCCCCACCCCCCCGGAGCCTGGGGCCAGCGTTGGCCAACGAGGGCATAGTGGACTCAAGTGAGATCCTGGGCCCTGGGGGGCAGGGCTGGTGCTCTGATGAGAAAACACAGCCCTAAGTACCATGGCAAGAGGGATCTGCTGTCCCAAGTCAGGCTCGGGCAGCCAGCTGCTGCTCGGGGGTAAAGAGGAGCAGGTTTATGGTGCAGCACTGAGGATTTGGGTGGATGCGGGGCTCTAAGGAGGCCACCCAGGTCCCTGCGTGCAGACCTAGAGGTGGCCTCTCCTCTGCACCTGTGCATGCAGGGATGGAGGCCGACACACAAATGCCTCTTCCTACCCAGAGGCCCACCGTGGCCAGAGCTCCGGCTCTGGGGTCGGGGGGGGCATGGATGCCAGCCCCGCCACCCCGTCGCTGGAGCCTTCGGGCGACCTGTCTGAGCTGGTAGTTCTTAGCTACAACGTGAGGTGGACGGTCCCGCCTGTGCCAGTGGCCGCGAGGGCAAGACTATGTAAGAGAACGTTCTGCACAGTCCTGCACGTGTGCGAGATGTGCCTGTCCCTCCTCAAGCCTCCAGGGCCCAGGCAGCCACGGAGCAGTTAAGACGCTCCCTTCTCATCCTGAGGGCTGTGTTCTCTCACACCCTCGGGGCTGGAGACTGCATCGGCTCCTGCAACTCTCTCCACATCGGGGCCCTATCCTGCCAGGAACCTCGGGAATCTTTTCTAGAAAGTCTTGCTCCTTACCACACCTCAGACATGGGCCGCCTGTGCTCCCCAAGGGGCCTGTGGTGCAGGCGGGCTGGGGCCTTTGGTCCCTGGCGCAGGCTCCCCCCAGCCTCTGCGCCCCGCTGTGAGGCCTAGTGCCAGGCCTGGACTCCGCCCACGGAACCTCCTTTTATGGAAGGTTCAAGGAAAGGGAAGGAAGCCAGGTTACCGTGGCCACTGGTTCAGCTTGACTGTGATTCTGCAGGGTGAAGCCCATTATCCTGGGCCGAGTATCCAAACCCACAGCTGTCATTGCTCAGCTGTCACGTGCTTTGAGCAGGATGGGCCGGAGGCTATCAAAGACCCAGGTGGGCCAGGTCTAGCTGAGAGTCCATGCAAGGGTCCTCAGCTCCCTGAGGCTCCCAAGATCTGGGGTCCCCCAGGAAACTGGGTGCCAGGCTCCACTGGCCTGGCCCCGCCATCTCTCTGGGAGGACAGACACCATTCACCAGAGGTGGCTGAATAATTCAAGATTTTAAAAAATGTATCACCAAAGGTTTATCATGAAGTTGATTGGCAAGAGAAGCACCGGTGCTTTTATAGAGGGCTAAAAATAAAGTGCTCTCAGGTATTTGCGCCTGTGTTCTTTGGAACACCAGAGCAGAGTGATGTTCTTTGGGGAGAGTGGCAGAGAGGTTCCAAGGGCCTCACCCCGGACCTGGAAGTCAGGAGCCCCATGGGGAAAGCTTGGTGGAAGGTGAGGACATAATGCTTCCTGCGGTCCCTCAGCAACTTCTCAGGAGACCGAACTCTTCAAGGGGGCCTGAGGGCAGAGAATAGTCCCTTCCTGTGTGCCCACCATGGGCTTTACCATATTTTCTGACTTAATCCTTACTGAGTCCCTCGGAGGTGCAGAACGAAGGTGCTCACGTAACAGACAAGAAAATGGACTCGGAGAGGTCAAGTCCCTTGCAAAGGGTCATGTGGCTGGGCAAAGCAGGAGCAGCTCTGTAGCCCTCAGGGACCTGGGAGTTAGGAAATGTGACAACCCACCTGGCGGACAAGGGCCAGCTGCAGGGAGACATAGAGGATGACTTGGGGGTCACCGGGCGCCAGCTGCTGGGCTCTGTATGGGGAGAGGGAGTGACAGGTCAGTGAGCAAGGACTGAGCACGTGCTGTGTGACGTGGGCCTCCAGCTTGCGAGCCCTGTGCTGGGTGCTGCAGGGCGAAATGTCGGGGGTTCTCAGAGGGTGCCCGGTGGGGGAGGATGGCGGTGGCAGCCCGTGGGCAGCAGGCTCCAGGAGAGCTGGCTGAGGCCCTATGGTGGCCTTGTACAGAGCCTGGAGCCTGACCTCCCCACCCTAGGACAGAAGGGAACACTCCTGTGGGTGGAGGGGCTGGGAATGGCCTCTCTGGGAGAGAAGCCTTGGGAATGAATTGCTGGCCCTTGGTAGCTCAGTGGGGATTGGCCCAGATGGGACTCTGTTACCTCCCTGGGTTCGGGAATAACCTGCCCCAGAGAGGGGTTGGATGTGCTAGTATGTTCCCATAAAGATGGCACAAGGAGTCTAGGGCAGGCCCCAAGCCAGCAGCTTCCACAGCAGTATTCGGGGGGAGTAAGACCCACAGGGCTCAGAGGGCAGAGCCCTGCGTTGGGCCAGAGGAGCGGGGGTAAGGATGCTCAGGCGGGGCCCAAGGCTATGGAGGAGGCAGGGGCTTAGCAAGGATGGGTTCGAGGGAGGGAGGGAGGGAGGGCCACCACAGGGGAGGGGCTTCTCTGGCATCCCCTTCCCTCCTTTCTTCCAGGACCCTGGCTGCCAGGAAATCTCTGTGAGGACTGGCGTGGGGGGTCCTCACAGGTCAAGTCAGAGAGGGGCTGGCAGGAGGCAAACACCAATTTTGAGCCCCTGCTACACTTAAGGCACATATGCAAGGTGCTTTTCTAGCTTTGTCTCAGAATTCTCACACCAGTCATGGGCTCTGATTCCCACCTTGGAGCCCTGAGCTCCAGAGGGGAGGGGCTGAGCCTGGGGACACCCTACCATCACCGAAGGGCTCAGCCTGCCCACCCAACCCCAAAGGCCTGTCCCTGCTTCCCGCAGGAGCTCTCAGAGCCCTGGTTTCCTGTCAATAAAATGGGGCCAGAAACCTTCATTCTGCCTCCAGCAGAGGGTCCAGGAAGATAAGGCGCGTGAATGTGCCACCTGGTGCCTCTGCCGGGGCCGGGGGCCCGCCTCACCTCTCCAGGGTCTGCAATGCTTTCCGGTGCAACTCATCTTGCTTGGATTTCAGAGTCGCTGCAGGAGACAAGACGGAGATGGATCCATGAGGGCTTGCTGAAGGGCTGCGGACCCAGCCCTGCCCCATCCCGGGGACACAAGCTCTGCGGGGAGACGCCTGATGAGGGCCCTATCTGGCAAATGCTTGCACTCAAGCAGCTCTGGACTACTGCCACCCACCACCCTTGTCACTGGGGGAGGGCGTGGGTGTCTGCTTGGCCCCAGCTTCCCAGCATGTGTCTTGGAACACCAGCTCCTTCCATTCCTTTGCCTTCTTTGCTACCTGAGCCTTGAGAGACAGGCTCCCTGGGCTGATGCCTGCTTCCTTGGGCTTACTTACCCACAGGCCTCTTTTTTAACCATTTTTACAATTTTTCAGTGTTAGATTTTAAGGGCAGGCGTTTGAAGCCTTAGCTGCACACGGAACCACCTGTTTTAAATCACCATTTAAAATGACTTGTCACCCAGGTCCCAGCCCAGCCCTGGTCAGATTACTCTTCCAGGTTTAGTCTGCACGGGACCCCATCGCTGCCCTGCCTGCAAGCACACAGAGGTAGGTGGGCTGCCTCAGTGCTGGGGGGCCACACGGCTGAGCTGGCAGGCTTCGGGAAAGAATGACAGGCTCGGGGCAGGAGGAGTGGAATCCAGCCTCCAAGCACAAGTGTTTATTAAACCGACTGTGTACCCAGCACTGTGCCGTGTGTCAAGCGAAGTTTAAAAGACCCCAGAAGGACACAGCAGTGCTGAGGGTAAGAGCAAAACAGGATAAAGCCACCGTGGGATCCGGGCAGGCAGCATATTACAGACCGCGAGCACACAGGAGTTCCAGAGGAGGGGATCAGCTCTGCTGAGGGGCTGGGGCTGGGCCTTGAAGGGTGCGTCCATGAAGAGGGCGTGCGTGAGAGTAATGAAGGCTGGGTAAGAGAGCGGAAATGGGACTGAGGGGTGTGTGAGTGTGTGTACCCACTGGAGATGTGCCAGGGGAGGGGGGGTGGGCACTGGTGGGACGAGATACCCGAGAGGCCACCGGGAAGCCTGAGCCCCCCAAGCGGAGGCTCCGGACCCAGGCACTCACCGTCAGTGGCCTGCAGGCTGTATGTGAGGCCCAGTGCCAGGTAGCCCTTGGCAAGGAACTCCCCGGCTTCCTCCCCGAGGCCGATCACCACCATGGCAAAGCGCTCTGCCTCCTCCAGCTGCAAAGAGGAGAGGCGCAGGTCACTGGGAGGGCTCTCCTGGCCTCGGTGTGCAGGCTGCTCAGTCACCAGCCCGGGACACTCAGAACTGCAATTCCTCATGCGTGGGCAGCGCGACCAGAGGCCAGGTGGCTTGTCTGAGACACACCGCCACTAAGTGGAAGGAATAAGGCTGTTTCCTCTGTCAGCAACTCCCTGGACCTCTTCCCTGCAACCCAAGGGCCTGGGCTCAGTGTCACAGGGTATGGCCTCTCACAGGGAAAAGCTTCCCTCTCCCCAGACAGCCTAGCTCGCTAGAGTTTTCTCTGCCAAGAGCAGGGACCCAGGGCCAGGCCAGTCTGTGACAGCTCCTTTCACCATCTGGCTTCTGTCTGTGCCTGCCCTGTGCAGCAGAGAGAGGGAAGCTGGGGCTGGGGGGCAGGCAGGGCCCTGGGCCTGGGGCTTGGGGACACCGCCAACCCTGCAGAATGGACAGGCTGCCACTCTGGCTCTGTCTGTGAGCTTGCGCCCGGACACGGGGAGCTCAAACTTTTTAGGGGAAAAAGGCCCAAGGTTGTTTTTGTCCTGGGAGCAGGAAGAACTGTTCCAGTTGGAAAGGGACCAACCGATGCAGGTCACGTGGGCACACACCATCACACAAGTCATGTGACACGAAGAAGGGCACGCACAAGGCAGCCCTCACAAGCCGTCTGGGGCACCCACAGCGGTCAGGCCAGTCAGGGAGGCGGGAGACAGCTGGGGGGTCTCAGCCGTGCCCACGCATGGCCCACAGGCCTCTAAGAGCCCAGGAATGTCATCCGTCCCTGACGCCTGCGACACCCACTGGCGTCAGTGTCACCGAAAACAAAGACTAGCACCACCCCACAGCTAGGGGGCTGAAAGGACCATACCCAAAGCCCCACTGCCACCCAGACGTCACGGGCCCCTGTGTGGGGCATCTTGCCCATGGCAGAGGCCCATCAAGGAGCTACATTCAACCAGGGAGTGAGATTCAGACCCAAGTTGGCTTCTGGCATTCACGCCAGGGCTGCTCCTGCCCTGCTCTTTTCCTTGCCACCCCATCCTGGCAGGAGAGGGGCAGCTCTGTGCATCTTGTGGCCTGACCACTGGCCACAGCCGGGGCGCCGGTGGCCCCTCCATCCCTGGAATGTGGAGCTGAGACCCTGAGACAGAGACCATCAGCAGAAGGGAGTTGGGTAAGCCTGCCCTCTGCGCACAGCCAAGGGAAGCTCCGTGCAGGAAAAGGGCTGAAGGAGCAGAGATCCCACTGTGCCCGGAAGGGAAGCAATAGAACCCAAACACAAGGAAGCAGAGCATGTGAACTGATAGCCCAGACAGAGATGGCGGGAGGGGGGCTGAATCCCTCTGAGGCCTGTCCACCATCCCTGCCTAAGCCGGCCTGACACATGCTGACCAGGGCGGTGCTCCAGTCCCCTCATGGCAGTGGTCTGGCTGCTGGCTTAGGCAGCGGACCACCTCCAGGTTGGGGGGCTGGTCACTGAGAGTAGGGAGTCTAAGGACCTAAGCTCCGACACCATCAGGCCCCAGGACTCAAGGTTTGGGGGAGGCCGTAGCCCAGGAAACCCCTCCGCTGCCTGCTACCCAGCCTCGGCCGGCCAGGCGGGCCCATGGCTGTAGCGGCTAAGATCCGTGTCCTGCAGCACCTGGCCCAGCGGGCCCTGGGGCAGTGGGGGTGGTTTGGGGGGCCTGGGGGCCTACAGTCAGAGCCGGGTGGAGAAAAAAGCACTGAAAGATGAGCTCCCAGACACAGGCTCTGGTCCTCACCCAGCACCTGACAGCTGCGGAGCCTGGAGCAGATCACTTAGTTTCTGTGCCCTAAAGGTCCTCTTCTGCAAAATGGAGACTTGGACCCCTCCCCCTACAACTGCCCCTCAGCACAGACCTCCACCGAGGCTTCTGCAGTAGCAGGCTCTGTGATGGGCCTAACTGGGGAGCCCTGATGACAAGGGAGGGGGAAGCCCGGGTGAGTTCGCATGTAATCCCCGCAGGCTGACCCCATACGACAGGGTGGCTCTTAATTAAGGCTCCACTGTGTGATGCTGGCATGGGGCTTGTGGAGCTCCAAGAGAAGGACAATCATGTGGCTATGGTTGTCCAAGGAAGACTAAGACTCATGGCAGACGGGGACAGGAGTCACCAAGAAAAGGGTTAAGTGAGCAAACTGCACCTCCCCCACCCAACATCCCATTGCTGATGCAGCTCATCTCATACACTGTCTTTAGGCATCATTACGCCCCATTCAAACAGGAGCAGGCTGGTTTATAAACCAGCAAGTACAAGTTATAGAACCTAGAAACCTATTGCATCCATGTATATACAGTCTTCCCATGACCATGTCCTTCTACTGAGCAAATGCCAGCTTTTATCTCTTGTAACTCATGTAGGGAAGGTGCTGGGAACAAAGCTCAACAGTTACTGGCAAACAGGGAAAAGTCACGCTCCAGTTCATACACATCATATTCTGGGTTAGTAGAGCTCACCATACTTTAGCTTTAAAAGTGCAAATAGGGGCGCCTGGGTGGCTCAGTCGGTTAAGTATCCGACTCTCGGTTTCAGCTCAGGTCATGATCTCCGGGTCATGGGATCAAGCCCCATGTCGGGTTCTGTTCTGGGTGTGGGGCCTGCTTGGGATTCTCTGTCTCCCTCTCCCTCTGCCCCTACCCACCCCCCTCTCTCTTCCGCTCTAAAAAGTGAAAACGGGCACCCTGAGTGGCTCAGTCAGTTGAGCATCTGACTCTTGGTTTTGGTTCAGGTCATGATCTCAGGGTCGTAGGATCAAGCCCCACACTGGGCTCCATGCTCAGCAGGGAGTCTGCGTGAAGATCTTCTCCCTCTGCCCCTCCCCCCCACTTGTGGGTGCTCTCTCTCAAATAAATACATCTTTAAAAAAAAGGTGCAATCATACATCCTTAGCTTGTCCAACTTGTGGTCCACTCTGATTCCCAGGTCAAGAGCCTTCCTCAGCCAGTACTTGCCAGCCTTGTCCATGTAGTTTAAGCACAGTGTCAGCATTTGTCTCAAATCAAACTCACAAAGCTTGAATGTACCGTGCTCGCTTTGGCAGCACATACACAAAGTGTGAATGTACCATTTCCTACATAGCCAACACTATTTTGGTCTCTATTACCTACTACAAAGCAGGCTTTTTGTATGTGAAGTCACTGCAGGGATAATGAAGGAAAAAATGATCAATTCTTGTTAAGTATGACAATATACACTATGATAACATATGGTATTAATATACGTGGGTGCTCTAACTGGCCAGTGAAAGGAAAAAAATGCTATCAGAGCAAAAAAACCAAAAAAACTGGGCGCCTGGGTGGCTCAGTTGGTTAAGCGACTGCCTTCGGCTCAGGTCATGATCCTGGAGTCCCGGGATCGAGTCCCGCATCGGGCTCCCTGCTCGGCAGGGAGTCTGCTTCTCCCTGTGACCCAACCCCCTCTCATGCTCTCTCTCTCTCTCTCATTCTCTCAAATAAATAAATAAAAAATTAAAAAAAACAAAAAAACAAAAAAAACCCCAAAACAAAAACAAACTCAAAATTTACACTTATTTTAAATATATCTCAAAAATAATATATATTTTGTGCGTGTATATATTGTATATACTATATACACACACACACACACAACACACACACACAAATACATACACACACAATGCACTGTTCCCCTTCATCTAAGACATAGGTGGCAATCCTAAAGCCCTTGAGAATGTGGCTTTGTCATTTTTGTTCTGAAGTACTAAAAGCCCACCCAAGTCCAGAATCAGTTCTACACTTATGAATAAGCTCTCCACGCAGACAACAGGGCAGCCTGGAGGCTAAGAACACAGACACTGGGGCCAGACTTCCCGAGCGCAAATCCTGGTTTGGCTACTTACTAACTGTGTGACCTTGGGCAAATCCCCTCGCTTTGCTGTGCTTCAGTTCCCTCTTCTGTAAAATGGTGCAACAAGTGTCTGCCTCACAGACAGACATCAGTTGCTGGGAGGACTGAATGAGGTAAGACACAGTGAATGCTCAGAGCAGTGCTTGAATATATGTAAGCCATTCTGATTAGTTATTTAATTTCTACCTGTCATTGGTTGAATCTTCCAGAAAAGGAGACTCTACACAAGGATCAGCCCTGTGCAGTCCCCTGCGTCAGCTGGGCAGACCCTCAGACTCTCTACCCATGGGTCCAGGACACACATACACCCACTAACCTACTCTTTGTCACAATACTCACCCCTGCTGTGGGTAACACACTTGGATATTTCTGTCCTATTCTCCGATAGCCTATTTCGATTTTTTCTTAAGAAAGAATTTTAGGGGCGCCTGGGTGGCTCAGTCGGTTAAATGTCTGACTCTTGATTTCGGCTCCGGTCATGATCTCAGGATCCTGAGATCGAGCCCCCAGTCGGGCTCTGTGCTCAGCCAGGCTCTGTGCCCAGCGTGGAGCCTGCTTGAGATCCTCTCTCTCCCTTTGCCCCTCCCCCCTTTTCACGCACACTCTGTCTAAATAAATAAAAATAAAATCTTTAAAGAAAAAAAAGAAAGAGTTCTATTTCACAACCCACTAACAGGTCTCAACTTCCAATGTGAAAGGACAGCTCTAATCCAGTGGCTGACTGAGTTGCCCGGCGCCCGCCTGTCTCCAGCCACCCCCGTCATCTTTCTCTCCGGGACTACCTCACTTGGCCTTTCCAATCTCCAGTCACTTCCGCCGGTGGCCTCGAAAGTCAACAGCTGGTGGCTCTGAGGTTGGGGCTGCTGTTTCTGCAAGATTAGCTCAGGTTACAGAGCTGAGCCCTCTTTGCTCGTCAGAACACCTCCAAGGTGACGGGTTATTTATTTATTTTTTAAAGATTTTATTTATTTGACAGAGAGAGAGAGAGCGAGAGAGGGAACACAAGCAGGGGGAGGCGAGAGGGAGAAGCAGGCTTCCCGCTGAGCAGGGAGCCCGATGCGGGGCTCGATCCCAGGACCCTGGGATCATGACCTGAGCCGAAGGCAGACGCTTAACAACTGAGCCACCCAGGCACCCCGGTGACGGGTTTTTTAAGTTCTTTTCAACCGTGTTCCTTCCAGTGGTATACTGCTTTTTAATATCTTACCTACGGCAGCCCTGTCACTTCGCCATGAACCCCAGGTAGAGGCCCCCCACCCCATGCCCCTGCCCTTCTAGAGCAGTTTAGTGCCTCATGGCACAGGTGTTACACAGCTGAAGGTTCTGGGGCACAGGGAGCTTAGGGGACCTATCCTATCCAAGGCCACCCGGCAAGTGAGTGACAGGACTGAGTGTCCAACCCAGGTCTCCTGAGCCTACATCTGGATCTGAGCTGCCTGAGTCACGGCCGCCCTCTGCGGTTCTTCACTTTCTTCCTCTCTGACCGTTTGGGAAAAGGATGCACGGAAGGCTCTAACGTTTGGACCCTTTGCTTGGCATTTCCAGAAGTAAGGGCCTTGTTCCCATGACTTCACAAGTTCCGACGGCTCTCCAGGCTTCCTAATTTGGTGCCCACACAGACAGGCCTCTGGCTCGCACATGTTGCTCTTGCTCGGCTGCCTTCCACTTCCCAGGTTGCCTCATCCATCTTGCACTGGGCCGAAGAGGTTGTACCCTGGGCATTTCAGCCCTTCCTCCCTTCCTGGGAACCGGAGAAAGTTCCTTTCTGAGCCTGCCGAGCTTGTTGAAACAGCACCTCTTGTTCTCCTCAGGCCCTTCCCCGGGGGGCCCGGGACCTGTTGCTAACCGCTGTACTGAAATGCACTTTTCCCTTCCTGAGAGGAACAGGACGAAATTTCCTTATTTTCACATACAGTGGCAGGATGGCTGGCATTCTTTCCTCCCTGCCTCATAAACACTCAACTCTTCCTGGCTCTGGCCACCCCTGGATCTGAAAAAGGAAGGTAAAAACACAAAAGCACCTCCCTTCGGAGAACACGCTATTTCAAAGGGGCTGTCACAGGGGCGGCTGCCGTTCATCAGGTACCTGCAGTGTGCTAGGCAGCGATGCTCCTCGGCTCTGGTGTTCAGATCCACCTGTACAGGGTAGGTGTGACTGCTTCCGGGGGACAGAGGAGGCACAGAGAGGGCGAATTACTCCCCTAAAGTCACACAGCTACTAGCTGGGTGGGCAGGGATTTGAACGCTATGCTCTCTGCCTCCAAAGCCTGCACTGTTTCCACCACTTCATCCTGCCCCCTCAGGGAAGAGGCCGAGAGACAGCACCACAGACCTTTCCGAAGAGGAGCATGGCCTGCTTTCCCACTTCCTAACTCCTCTCTCGTGTGGGACACGCAGCATACATGCACACTCCTATCCTCCTAGGGAAGCCTCAACTTTTTAAATTACAAACATTTTAAGTAATTGTGTTTGGAGAGATACTAAAAAAATATTTACAACTCTTTTCTTCCTGCCCCAAATAACTGGTTGGGGACCTTGGCAAGACATCGACTGTGCCAAGGCAGGGGGCTGCCACGCACTGCTGTCCCCGGGTCAGAGCCTGGGATGCCCCCCCCCCACCCAGGGGAGCCTCAGGCAAAGCCTCGGGGCCAGTGCCCTCCCACCTGGCCCCATGCCTGCCCCAGGTGCAATCACCTTGCAGCAAACCCCATGTCAGCCAGCCTGTGACTGTGTAGGTCCCTCTGCCTGGTGCACCACGACCTGAGGGCCACCTTGCTCTCAGACCCAGGCTCAGCCTAGGGTGTCCCACGCTGGCTCTGGGCATGGGGACAGGATGTGGGGACAGCAGGTGCTCCACCTCTGGGCACATGACCACCCTGGCTGGTTTCACCCAGCACAGCTCGTTTTTCAGATGTCCCAGTTTCAGCCTCCCTTCCTGCAACCTGAGCCAAGTTGTCCACCCCCAGATTTCTGTCCCCGTTCATGGAGCTTGGCTGGCTAATGGCTAGGCCTGCTGGGGCTGCCAGGAGCCAGGAGAACTGCGATGGCAAAAGACAGAGGTGGCCTCGGACGCCTTTCAGGAACCGTGCTCTGTCTCAAGCACCAGCACCCCTCTGATCGTTGAGGTCAGACCCATTCTTCCTGCTTGTGGCCCCAGAATAGAGTGCTGGGCCACCCTTCTCCTGGCCTCCTTGGAGAACAGGCTGCCCTTAGCTACACACGGTCTGCTCTCTGCCCAGCGCCAACTCGGGAACCTGAGAACCACTGAACCAGAGGCAGACTTCCCGCACCCGTCCCTCCCAGCCAGCTGGGGCAGGAGTCATTCTAGAAGATATGAGTGGACATCTAACCACATGCAGGGTTCTTTGCTGGGGAGAGAGGCTCAGGGTGCAGACATGGTAAGTAAAGAAGCTCCCCGACCAGTTGGGAAGAGAAGTACCATTTAAGGCAGAATTGCTGCCGAGTGGTTATGCTCATTGGCGAGCAGGATCTATCCAATAAGCACCGGACGGGAACTCTGGGCTGGGGTTTCAACAAGGAAGACAGTTTCTGCCCTCAGGAGACACTGGGGATTATAATGTAATCTAGGTGTCCAAGGCAGGTATAAACGGGGCTTTAGGGAGGTCCAGGGGTTCCAGGTTAGGGACGGCTGCCAGGAGCCACCCCTTGTCCCTCCAGCGGGACCTGGCTTGAGCCTGGACCCAATTTAAACCCTGGCTCAAACCAGCTCCCAAAGCCATGCATGCTTCTCAGCTGAGGTTAAACAGCTCGCTCTCCTCCCTGATTCTGTGACAAGTCTGCATGTTTAAGCCTCCTTTTGGGCTTTTCTATTTATGTTGTCATTGATGACTTTGCTCCTAACTCATCTGATTTCAATTTGGACTGATTGGATCCTAATTTTATTACCATGTAATCTGAATGCATGTAATGACTGTAATTATGCTGCTGAGGGAAACAGCTCCTCCACGGCGGGAAGGCCTAAATTTAGGCTTCCTGGCAAGGGTGGCTGCTGGTGGGGTGGACACCCATCGCCACCTCAGAGCTGGTGGCCTTCGGGGGGACAGGGGCCCTCCCCTGCCGCAGCTCGGTGAGGCGGGTATCTGGGGCTTTGTGAGGCCCCCCCTGAGGAGCCCTGGGAACACGAAGGAGTGTGAGCGGGGGGTCGGCGAGCACACCCTCCCTGCGTGCCCTGGATCCCACCCCGGTCCTCTGCTGCAGCGCCCAGTCTGGGTGTCTCTGCTGGCACCCGCATACCGCCCATGTCACCACAGCTCCCCACCTGGAAGATGCAGGACGCCAACAGGCCGCCTGCAGAGACGCAGGGAGCAAGGGGTTTCCCCACCAATCACGGGGTGGGGAAGGCAAGCCGTGATGGAAGAACCTCCCACTGGCCTGAACCCTCCACGGTCCAAGGCTGCCTCCTCCGTGCATCTCCTGATCCGTCCAGCCTTCTACATACTTTATATCATTTACGCCACATCTGAGGAACAGACTGTTACTGTCTCCGCTTTACGAAGGAGAGAAACCGAAGCACAGCGAGCTTGTGTACCAAGACCACCCGGGGATGGGCAGGGAAACTCTAACCCACCTCACGTTGCAGCCGCTTCCCAATGCCTGGAGCCTTAAGAGGTGGTTCTGCCAGCTTCCCCCGCCCCCCTCCAAATAAAGCCACACTCTAGAGTCTGGGGCCCGAGGCCATGCTTCCCCTTCCCCACCATTCACAGTGGTGCCACGGTGGCCAGGGGGCGCCTCAGCTACAGGAATCTGAGAACCAGGAGACACAGGGGAGGGTGCTCTTTCCGCCCTGCTCCTCAGTCCGCAGCAAAGAGAAGACAAGGCCCACTGGGGCAGCGAAGCGGGGACCCAGAGAGGGTTGGGGCCTCGTGTCCAGTCCCTGGGAGACTTGGCAGGAAGGCTTAGAACACGGAGTCTCCCTTCCCAAGGCTGGATGCCCAAGGAGGGGGGAGTGGCGGCAGGAGGCGGACAGGCTGCTGATTCAGAAGCGCCTGCTGTACGCCCCTGGGGCCTGGAACAAGCTGGGCACCCAACCATGGTGAGGGTGGGCTTGGGGGGTGGGAGAAGAGGCAGGGGAGGCCTATGTGTGGGAGCAGCGCCCTGTGGGGAGACGCTGGGCCTGGAGGGCAGCTGAAGGCACTGGAGCTATTTTGCCCGAAGAGAGGAAAGGTGGGTGGGGCAGGAGAGGATGCATTGGACCTCAGGAGGCTGATGTGGGCTCAAGGAAGCGGGGACCCTTGGAAAGAAAGCTCCCGGTAGGAGGAGACACCTTTGCAGAGGCTCCGCCACAGGCTCAGAGCAACCACCAAGGGAGCCTGGGGAGGGGAGGGCCCCAGGCCCAGTGCCTTTCACGGCTCCATCCTGTTGGCCTCCTCGAGGACCTCGGAGCCCAGCTGCAGGAAAGCCCGGCCTGTGGGGAGAGGGTGTACCTGACCGTTCAGCCACCTCAGCAGAGCCCTCGGCAGGAGGCTGAGCACAGGGCAGGGACCCGGGGGCTGGAGCCGAAAGGAACAAGGGGGCCCACAGGTCCTGCGCACACAGCACTGCCCCCTGTAGTAGTGTGGAGCCTCCATCCAAATGATGGCTGGCCCAGGTGCTCTAAGTCCGGCCCACGACCGCACCGCTGGGCAGCTGGGGGTCCCCCTCTACTTTTGACTCTACATCTCAAGACTGAACCACAAACCTGATACCAGCCTGAGTTGGGGGACTTACTGTTGCAGATCCGTCTGCTGGTTTCCTCAGAAGACTCCTCCTTCCAGGCCTGTCTGCTGCACAGCTCCTCATGCATCCCCCCCACCCCCATACACACAGCAAGATGTGCATGCCCCGATCTCATGCCCACTGCCACCCTTCTGCAGGAGTCACTGGGACCTGGGCCCTGCCCCCACAGTTCACTCACCCAGTGCAGGGACCCAATGCAGACCTTGGCGGCCATCAGGGGCACAGTGGGGTCCGAGGGCCGAAGCTTCATGCACTCCCGCAGCAGTGACACGGCGTAGGCTGACTGCAGAAGAAAGGGCAGGTGACACCATCACTGGCAGCCCTGGGTCTCGACAGACAAGGTGCCTTGTGCCTACAGTGGGGGGCATTCCCAAATAGCCAGTCCTTGCTCTTTCCTCCCAAGAGGCAGGAAGAGGGCCCAGTGGGAGAAGCCCAGGTCATGTTGGCAGACAAATCCCTCCCAGGCCTCAGATTCCGCATCTGGAGAATGGAGGCTGTGAGTCTTGCCCAGGTGATGTGCCAATAGCTCATGTAACAACAGGTGGAAGCACTTCTAAAGGAATTCAAATGTGAACCACAGACATGATAGAGGCAAAAACGGGCTCTTTCAAACTTTTGAGTTCAACAGCCTTGGTTTCTAGGTGACAAGATGAGGCCAAAGCTCCACAGGACTTGGAGGCAGGGCCGTGGTGGGGAGTTGAGGGGGTTTGGCCATAATGGCTGGCAGAGGAGAAGGAGAGAAGCTAAGCTGGCAGAGGCAGAGAGAACCTCCAGACAGGAATCTGGGGCCCCTCAAGGCTCCAGCGACTCAGCCACAGAGACGGGGCCAGAATGGACCTCCAGAGGATGGGCCACGTGTGGAGGGAGGGCCAGGACGGGAGACTATCCACAGGCAGGCAGCAATACTACCAGTCACAATAATGAGAAAAAGAACACCAGCTAACACTTATTTAGATCTTACTATGTGCCACGCATTGTTATAAACCAGAGCTCAGCAAAACACAGCCCACGGGCCAAATGTGGCCCTCTGCCTGCTCCTGTGAATAAAGTTTTACTGGAACCCAGCCATGCCCATTCATGTATGTATTGCCTACAGCTGTTTTTCTGACAGAGTGGGGAGTTCCCACAGAGACTGTTTGGCCTGCAAAGTCAAAAATGTCTACTATCTGACCCTGTACAGAAAGTCTGCTGTCCTCTGTTCTAAGTGCTTTATAGATTTAGTTTTCACAACTCTCCTATGAGGTAGGTGAGCCATGTCCCTATTTACAGATGAGGAAACTGAAAGGCAGAGAAGTTAAGTAGCTTGTTCAAAGCCACAGTGCCCATACATGGCTGAGCTGGGGTTTGAACAGTCTGGCCCTATGCTCATAACCACAGCTCTACCTGGCCTCAGTGACTTGGGGCTTCCAGAACAATCTCCTGCTGCACCAGTAGTGACCACCTAGGCAGATACAGCAGCCTCGGTCTCCCTGCTACACACACACACACACCCACCCCCCACCCCCAACACACACACACACAAGACACACACTCAGGGCTTCTGACTGTACCCAACACTTTCCCAAGAACTCAACAGTGACACCCCCTGCCCCCCAAGTGTGCACACTCCATACTTGTGTGACCCCAAGCTAGGGTCAATGGGAGGCAGGGGCATGTGTGTGACCACAGTTCCCATGTACTAAGCCCTACTGTGAGCCAGGCTTCCTCACCATTAATTAGCTTTCACCCTCCCCAGCAACTCCAGACGTACCACTGAGGCAATGGGGGCTCTGGAAGGCTTAACCTGTTCAATCTCAGTGTGAGAGACTGGAAGAGAGAGAGCCAGAACCCCAGTGATCTGTGTCTACTCTGGACCCCCAGCCTTTCTCTAGCTACCCCTCGCTTCCCCACCAGCTAAGGAAAAACTCTTAGCCCAGACATGACAGACTGAGGCTCTAGGCTGAGGCGTATTAGGCCAGTTCTAGGGGTCTCAGCCAAGGGCTAGCTCTGTGCCCAGTGCTGGGCTGGGGTTGTGGGGTCACATGGCTCTTGCCTATCAGGTGCCTGCAGAAAGGCCTGGGAAGAAGACAAAAGCTATCGTTCCCCACTGCTCTCTGAGAAAGCGAGGGTGTGAGACCCAGCACAGGCGGGTGTCAGCAGATGACCTATTCCAGCAGGCCGGGAGACTGGGCTGGACTGTGGGAAAGGGGGCCTCGTGAGGGGCCCAAAGGAGTTGTGAATACCACTCCCAGCCCGCCAGCCATGGCCCCCCTCCATACACCACAGCAAGCCCCGGGCTCCCCTTGGCCTCCTTCCCTGGTTGCTGACCTCTGCAGGGTTGAAGGTTCTCCAACTGTGACATGAAGGTTCTACAACCCTGATCGTCCATGTTCACCCCACACAGACCATAAAGCATTGCTATTTCAGGAGCCATCAGAGGACTCCACAGTAAGGGCAGGCAGCTTGGTTGGTTTTTTGTTTTTTTTTGTTTTTTTTTTGTCATGCTGGTTACCTAGCAACGCAGCAATGTGACTGCTGAGGAGACCAAGAGAAGGAGCGACCTAAATCATGTCATGGACCTCATCTTTTCTTCCTGCAGGCTGAGGTGTCAGATGTACATACATCCGCCCGACCACACCTTCAGCACAAGTGTGGGTACAGAACCTTGATTCCTACCTTGGGCTTTGGCAAAGGCCAGCTCTGGCCACTCTGCTGGGGGCGGGGGGGGGGCTTCCTGGGCCAACCAGGCAGACTGAGCTGGTGTGCAGGGTTCCTGAGGGGGTGGACAGTGTGCTTCCAGAACAATCTCCTGCTGCACCAAATGCAGGCATGGGTATAACCCAATGTCTCCAGCCTGTGCAGCCTCATGTATGAGGAACTCACTGATCGCCCCAACGCCCTACCTGTAAGCCCAGCCTCGTGCCCACCTTGCTGGTCTGTGAAGGAGCCAGGCTGGGACACCAACTCCCTGGATCCTGGGATGTGCTGGACTGCATGTAGACCTCTCTGAGCCTGGCTCTTCTCAGTAGGGAGGCTGAAGATCCCATACCTCCCAGGCTAACACCTTCTCCCTCGACTGGGGAGTTTCCTGGTGCACCGCCAGAGATTAAAGCTAGCTTCTGAGTATCCTACCTTCTTCTGAGGAGGGCTCCCCAGCTTTCCTTGGGATCTCAAAGGGGTCTATGACTCACAGAAAGATTAGGACCACTGCCCTGGCCCTGGGCCTCTCCTCCTGGCCCATGCTCACTATTGCAAGATCAGAGGTTCTTTGTTTCCCAGAGGCAGCAAGAAGCTGTCATATGCCACTGTGAGCTGTCTGTCCAGGCTCCATGTGAGCTCCAGCCCCACCTCCTCCCCTTCCTCAGGCCTCACTCTGTCTGCAGCCGGAACTCTCCCCGAGCCTTGGCAAGACCCTGCTGAGCACAGAGCCAGAGTAGACCACGTCTGTGCATTTAGGATGCTCTGGTGGGTGGTCAGCGTGATGGGGGTGGGGAAGAGCTTTGGGAAGGCCCAGTGGGGGTTGGGGGGTGGGAGGCTCCCCACTTGATTCTCACTATACTCCCCTGGCTCCTTCCCATCGATCAGGCTGCAGCACCAGCTAGTCTTCCTCTTCCCTGCCTAACCTTTGCGGGGGTGGTGCAGGCAAGCCGAGGAGGGCCCTCCTCTGAGCGGAGCTGCGGGGCTAGAAATGGCTGGTGGCACAGATGGGCAGGGGGGGGCAGGAATTCCCTCAGCCCCACAAAAGGGCTCTGGGTGTTTACAGTTCTTGGAACGATTTGCAAGCTCCTGCCACCTTCTTTCCTGCATTCATAGCATCCTTGGCTCTAACACCCTCAGCACCCAGCTCCGGAAAGGTTTTCCTTTCATGTTACTGCCGAAAATAGAGGCTTATGTAAGTGTAATCCTCATCAGGGAAGAAACCAGGGGGTGCTGGAACAGGGCTTGGTGGGTAGAGAGCAAAGACGGCCCCGGTGACCGGGGCTAAGGTCAGTCCCCTTATGCTGGGCAGACAGAGCCTCTGTCCCAGCCACCACCGCTGGCGCAGTTCTCCCCCCAGACTCCCTTGTGGGTGCTGCTGCTCTGCTCCACCCTTCAACCCTTCCCCCTAGGCAGGTCCTTCCATGGGAAGGTCCTTTCCTGACACCACACCTGATGGGCAGGAAGAGAGCTACAGCCCAAATGAATGCGCCCCTCGCTCAGAACCTGTGTCCCATGCCTGTGGCATGCAGTTGTACTCTTCAAGTCACACGTGGAAATGCTCTGTTGCCCCATGTGTGCACGTGTCCTAGGAGAAAAGCACCCACAGACCCACAGTTGCACACCTGTAACTCCCAGGTGGACACCAGATTCACACAGGGGTCTGTGTATGACCCTCTGCTGGCCCTCACTCTCCCAGAGATGAAAATCCGATGCTGGAGAACATTTCTGACTCACCCCCGTGCCCTCTGCCTGGCCCTGGAAGGGACCGGAGGAGAGCAGAGGCCCCAAAGGCAGGTGTGCCACCTCCCCCACCCAACACACGCCCTGGTCTTACCTTCCCACAAGCCACCATGGAGAGGGCCACTTGGTACCAAAGGTGAAATTCTTCAAACGCAAACTTCATGGCTCGTTCCAGGCACTGAGGAGAGGGAGTCAGTCAGCACGTTCCCCCCAGGGATCCTCCCACCCCCAGCCAATCCAATACCCCCCAGGGCAATCACTGCCCAAATCACTTCTTATAGGAGGCTGCAGGAGGCCCATACTTGGTTCCTATCGGAAAACTCCAGGCATAACCTGCCCCTGCTAACGGGGCAGGTTATGCCGTGTGACCTTCTGCAAGTCTCCTACCCTCTCTGGCCCTTGGTTCCTACCTCCCTAACACGTGACTGCCTCACAGGGTGATGGGGAAAAGGGAATGAAATTGGGTCTGGGTTTTTAACATGTAAACATCCCATAAAAATAGTAACTGGTATTTATTATTGTTGTGCATGGTACCACTCTCAGGTTTTTACACGTATTAACTTATTCTCTCGCCCCAGCAACCCTGGGAGGTGGGTTCTCCCATTATCCCCATTTCACAGATGAGGAGGCTGAGGTTTGAATGACTTCCCAGAGTCACAGGGCCAGTAAGTGGCAGAGTGGGCTGACTACAAAGCTGCCCAAGTGGAAAGGCTTTTCTCGGTTCTGCTGTTCTCTATGATGACTGAGAAAACTGACTGCCCCACCGGCCTGTCCGATCCTGGGCAGCCCCAAATCAGGGGTGGCCTGGTGAGATCCGGCAGACGCTACCAAGTGCTTCCACATGGTGGAGGCAGAAGCCAGCATGTGAGGCCACGACTCGCCATGGTCAGGCGGGGCAGGGGACAGACGTGAGGTTCCGGGACCAGACAGCTGGGCTTTAAGAGCTCAATGGCTGGGTTCACGTGCTGGCTCAGGTGCACCCCCTCCATCACCTAGGGCAAGAAACAACCTCTCTGGGCCTTGCCTTCCTCACTGGTAAACTCGAGAGAGCACCACTTCAAGAAGGTATCACCTAAAAGCACCTTGCATGGTGCCGGGTGCAAGCAGGGGCTCACCAGATGTCACGAGCTCTCCTCTCAGGGGCCCCCCTAACCACACAGGAAAGAGAAGCTACTGCCAAAAGGCCCACTGCTGTACAAGGAGATGGGGCCCCAGAGCCACCTTTGATCCCAGCCCAGATGTGAAAACTCAAAAATGCGTGCATGCCATTCGCCTTGTGGGGAATGGAGAGAGGAGCAGTTTGGTGCCCTGGTCCCCCTGCCTTCACCCCAGAGAAGCACCACCCCGGGAGTGCTGCCCCACCAGGGTTTGCTCAATAGAATGGGGTTGCTCTATCCAGCTTTGGTGGGAGGGGGTCCAGGGCCCTGACACCACACCAAGTTCAGAGCTCTACCAGCAGAGACAGTCACATCCAGTATCATCCACGTGGGAAACTGGGGGATGGAAAATTTCCCCCTTGTGCTTCTCTATACAATGCCTTGTGTTCCTCCAAAAGAAAAACACATGAAAACACTAGTAAAACAACCAAAATCAAAACCAAAACCACCCATCCTGCCAGGGAAGGACAGCTCTCCCAGCCCTGGAGAAGGAACGGTCCCAAGCCTCGTCTCCCAAGGACTGAGCTGTACCCCTTGGCGGAGGCAGGGAAGGGACAGTGGAGGAGGTCAAATGGTGGTTCCACCTGACTTCTTGGGGGGGGGGTCGCCGTACCTCGGAGAGCATGACGTACTGGCCCCTCCTGCCCAGCGTGATGCTCAGGAGGTCATAGATGGCTGCAGCATTCCGCAGGCTCACCGCCCGGTCCTCCTCCTGCTCAGGTGCCCGGCTCAGCACCACATCCCGAGTAGCCTGCGGGGCGACGTGGTTGGGGAAGGAGCGAGGATGGAAAATAAGCAGCTGCCTGCCTCCAAGGCCCGGTAACCATCGTCCTTACACTGCTAACCCAGCCCATGCTCCCAGAATCTGCCAGGGCCTTTCTGCTGTCCCCACGAAGGCCCCCACGAAGGCCCCCACGAAAGGGAGAAAACCTCCACCCATAGTCTAGGTTGGGGTGAGGGACCAGTTCCGAGGGCTCCCGGTAGTCAATGTTTTAGTCTGCAGAATCTCAAACCTATAGAAAAGTTGCCAGGGTGAGGGTACTGACCACACGTGCTTTGTTGCTCTCTAATATATGATTATAAGGATAGAGTCATGAAGGTAAGATGACCCTTGACTCCTAAGTACAACCACAAGAGGAATACCAGTATTTCAGGAAATGTAAAACTGACACCTCTACTATGAGCTCACAGTCAGATCTCCCCCGTGCCCACCGATGGCCTTACTAGAAATCTTTTCATCCCAGAACCCAACCCAGGACCAGGCCCACATTCCGGGGCTGCGTCTCTGCAGTCTCCTCTCATCCAGAAGGGCCCTGCACCCCTCGTCTTTCAGACACTGGCATTTTTTGAAGATAGAGGCGACAGGTTCTGTGGAACAGCTCCTTGTGAGCTTGTAACTGTCCACTCACAGAGCTTCAGGTAATACCTGGAAGTGTCTAGATGACGTGGGTGGCTCTGCTGCTGGACTCGCAGGAGGGGAGCTTGGGCTGTGGCCCCTTGATATCCCTCTGATAAGGACCTCCTGGCCCCATACGTCCTTCCCGTCACCCCTGTGTTCAAACCAGACCTGATCCTTGACTCCTTTTCACCACAGAACTCTCCTCTCAGAGTTCCCTAAGAAACCTCTCCCCTAACACATGGCCTCTGTGCTCGGTGTCCAGCGCTCGGGAGTTTGGTGCTCAGAGCTGCCAGGTAGCTGCTGGGCAGGGGGAGTGGGGGGGTTGGGGGAGCAGGGAATGGGAAAATGTGCTTTAGGAGTAGGAGCGTCCGTACAATCCGAAGCAGGGGCTCTGTATCACCAAGCCTGAAATCTCCCCACTGGGGACTCGGGACCCCTCTTATTCTGTGGCCCATGGTCCCACTCCCTCTTGTAAACCCAGACTCGGGAGATAACACTCAGGCCTGGGAGTAATTCAACACGAATCACAGGGTCCCTGAGCTGAGCAGCCCCAGGGCAGTGACCAGGCTAGGAATGCTCTAGGAACGAACACGCACACACACCCGCCCACCCACCCGAGGGCTGTATCTGAGCTGAAGCGAAGCTCGGTTCCAGCCAGATGCTTCTGCTGGCTACTCCCAGTAGCCCTCTCCCTCTGAAGTAGGGGCCGAACCCCCTTTTGTGTGTTGGGACTCACCCTCTTCTACTCCCCCACACAGGACCTCCGAACCAAGGATGCTGGGATAAAAAGGAGCTGCTGGCCCTTAAAACCAATTTCTCACTGTCAGATCCAGATCATCCTTCCTGTCCACAGATGGTCTTCAAAACCTCCTTCCAGGCAGGATTACGAACCCCTGCTCCAGGTCAGGGGCTGAGGCCCCCATGGGTGAGGGGCCATAGAGGCGGAAGAAGCCCAATGGCTTTCAGACTGCAGGATCTGAATGTGTCCTGTTGTGCAGGCCTGAAGTGCGTTCCAGAGGCTTCTGGAAGCCAAGATACCTCTGAGACCCAAGGAAGTGACTCACCCATGGGGGCACTTCCGGCAGGCAGGCCAGCAGCCAGGGGCCCTGATGGGTGCCCCTCCTGCCACGGCAGGCGAGGGCTGCCACCACCCCCCCGTCCGTGGACCAGCCCCAGGAGAAGGCACGGGATGTCAGGGGATCCCCAGAAAGGGTGAGCGCCGGTGCCAGCCTGATGAACAAGAGCCGGTCGGGAACTCTGAAGGGTTAAGGGGAGAGAAGCAGAGAGGGAAAGTGCCAGAGAAATCCCACTCCTTCCCAGTGAAATCCACCCACACAGGCACCATCAGGAAGAGAGAAGAAATTCTGAGAGGCTTGGCAGGAGCTTTCTGACAAAGCGGAGTAGGAACACAAAACTGGCCATGTACCTCCCCACTCCTCCACCTCCAGCCCTCCCCTCCAGAACTCCCCGGCTCCGGCCCGCAAGCGTGGGGCCCCGAGAGGTGGCCTGGCCAGGCAGCCAGGACAAGGGTGGAGGCAATGAGAGGACACAAGGTACGGTCCTTGTCCTCAGGGAGGGGACACTGGAGCCCAGAAGCAGCCGCAGTACTTGTGCTCAGCGCAAGGGACCTAGAAACCTGGTGGGAGACAGGGGTCCCGATGGAAAGGGCACAGCGCAGGCAGCCTGCAGCGGGGCGGTGGGGGCGCTTTCCTGTGGGGTACAGGGAGAAGCCTGGCTGGGCATATGCAGGATCTGGGAAGCTATCCGTGCGGACTGGTCTTATTCTGGGGATGGTGAGCAGCGAGCTGGGACCGCGGGCCTCAGCTCCGGTTGGCCTGTCCTTGAAGAGTAACCCATGCAGACCCCAACTCCCAGCCCCCTCCAGACGGCTCCAGCACAAAGTCAAACCTCCTTCTCTGTGGCTGCCACGAGGCCTGGCCCACCTGGCCAGCTTCTCCCTCAACCGGCTCACGGTCCTCCCCCTGCTCCACAGAACTCCCCGCAGCTCCCTCTCAGCAACAGGGACTGTCTATGCCCTCGGTCAACCTGGATGCCTCCTGGCTCCTCACAGCTCAACTCAGGTACCCGTCAACCTGACCGACCCTGCCAGGCAAGGCTGCCCCCCTCTTGTCCTCTCCTAGCATGGGGCACACACCCCAGCCCCTATATACCCAAGAGTTCCCTGGTTCTTGGGGCAGGGACATGTCTCGCTGTCTCCAGCACCTTCCTTGGTCCATGTTTGTAGAATGAGTGATGTTGAGCAAGATTTCTGGGCTTGGTGTGGAAATGTTCCTCTCTTGCCCTCAACCTTGACCTTTAAGACAACAGTGTCTCTGACTGTGTGCCTAGGGGTGGATTTCCAGCACCGGGCTGGGATTAAGTCAGAAAACTAGGAACAGAACGGAGCATGTCCTCAGCCTGGGGGCTGGGCCTCCCCAGGAGGCAGACAGCAGGGAAGAGGTCTCCTGGGTGGGGGTGGGGGGGGGTCCTCAGGAACTGGACCGTGTCAAGAGGGAAGCAGGGTTCCACAAAGGAAAACCAAAAGCAGAAGTTTGCCCTGGTTACTATGGCTCTTGGGGAGGGCTGCGGTAAAAGGCTGTGGTGGTGTTCGCTGGGTGGGAGAAGAAGGCGCAGAAGGAAGGAAGCTGTGGGGGCTAGTGACGTGGCAGGAATTCATGTGCAGCACCGAGGGTGGGGGCCTCAGACACTCCAGGGGCTTCGAGTTGCTGCCCACGCGCCCCGGGTGTCCTGTTCCCTCCTCCCCTGGGCTCACCACCCTCAGGCCAGCGATGCTCCCAAATTCACCAGCAGCCTGCCTTGAACTAGTCCCAGCCACTCTTTTCCTCCACCATTCAAATGGCCTCGCTAGGAAATCCCTCAGAGCAAATGCAGAGAGAGAGATGAATGTGCCTATGACCTATAAAGCGTAGATGCAGACACTGAATATTCTTCTCACCACAATCATGCTTACTCCTCTGGGAGTAATGAAGAATCTTCTCCCCTTGTTCCTCCCTGCACCATCTCTAGGCCCCCACCTCTGGGGATGCCTCGCCCTTGTTTGGACCACACATTTTGTCCTAGGCAGGGCTCCTGAGCTGTATGGCTCCTAACCCAGGCCCTCTGGCTGTCCCCCCACAGTGCAGCCTCCTCCAAACTGAGGATACTCACCCCAGGCCCTCTGCAAGCCAAAAAAAAAAAAAAAAAAAGCAGGCACCTCCCTACCCCCCTCCTCTAACAGCTCATCACTGCCAGTGTGACCCATATCTGGTCTTGGGAGAAGGATGCATGAAGCAAGTCTAGGGCCTTACAGGAGGGCTGGTGGGGAACTGCCATGTCCCCAGGCTGGCCAGCCCATGTGAAAGCCAAGGCAGGCAACGCTCCCTCCAACAGCCATCCCTTATGTGTGCCGCACATTGGCTTTTGAAGGTCACATCCGTCACATCTCATCTGGACTCACAATAACCCCGCGGGGGTACAGGAGGAAACCACGATGCCCTCTTTGCAGATCGGAAACGGAGTCCCAGAAAGTGAACTAATTGTGCGAGGTCCCCGGGAGGTAAGGCTGCACCTTCAAAGGCCAGTCCAGGACAGCTTCTACTGCCTCATGGGCCTCTCCTGGTCCCGACCCTCTCCTGACTACAAGGCCTCAGACCGCATTGACTTTCGTTTCCATCCAGCCCCGTTTCTCCTTTCTAGTCCTCCACACAAGCAGGGTGAGAGAAGAAAAGGGAGAACTTGTGGACTACTTTGCAAGTGGCAGCTCATAATGACCTCATGTGCTATTGTCCTATCTCACAGATGAGAAGACTGAGGCCCGGGGAAGCTCCCCCAGGCATACAGATAGGTGGGACCCAGATTAGAACCTGGACATTCTGACTTCACCCCCAGAGGCCTCTGAAGAAGTGTCCAGTAGCCTTGTCCACGCCATCAGAGGCCCCAGGATGGCTCTGCTTATACGGGAACCAAAGCAAAACACCAGGCTGGGCCTTCCCAATCAGGGAAAAAGCCCCTTGGGCAATGTGTCCAGGGCCCTGCTCTGCCCTGTTCTTAGACACAGCTGCTCTACCTTGGCCAAGCACCCAGTCTCAGGGCCTACTGCTGGCACCCCCCCAAATCACCCCAGAAAGGAGTCCCCCAGCAGCATCTGTGACTGGCACCTGCCCCTCTCTGGAGGGCGCCGTCATGTTCCGCTCCTGCTGTCCTGCCCCACCAGCAGACGGAATTACCACGGCTTTCAGGCCGCCAGTCCACAGAGCCAAGAAATACCACGCTCAGTGATGTGGCCCATCCACCCAGAGCCCTGGGCCAGGCCCACGCCGGCCCCACTCTCCTGCCGCATCAGGCTTCGGCGGCAGGAGTCACACTCTCTGGCTCTTCCTGCCAGCAAGGGCGAGAGGATCTCCCACCTCTACTGAACCTCCTGTTCCGAGCTTTCAGCAGTAGCAGACCCTTTACCGTGGCAGCCCGCAGCAGAGCAAACGAGGTGCCAAAAGCCAGAACAATCTGTGCTCATCTGCCGAGTCCCAAATGGAACCGAGCCCAAGAAGCACTTTTTTTTTTTTTAAACTGAATGGTATCCTCAAACCAATTTTTCACCCAACCTGATCCGAGCCTGATTATTCTCTAAAATGAATGAATCGGAAGCAAGCATTTATCAGGACAAACAAACCCGTGTTGAACATCTCTAACGTACCAGGCACCTGTGTGGTTTGTTTTCTGGCTTTTGCTGTGCAGAAAAGCCTTATTAGCCTCATTTTACAGATGAGAAAACTAAGGATCAGGGAGGGAAGAACCTTGCCCAGGCCCCGCAGACTGGGAATGGCAAATTCAAGGCTCAAACTGCTGGTGTGACACTGGACGTGGCACAGTTCACCTGTAGGCTCCAGCCCCCAGAGGCTACCCATCCACTCCACTCTCACTCAACACTGGACCTTTGGGGCCTTTTAGTTCCTGAGCACCTGATACCAGGAGCAACTTCTCCATCAGCTGAATGAAACAGGGACCCACGGACTCAGTCTGCCTCTGCATATATTTTTATGCCTAGATGAGTATTTTAGAAAGGATCAAGACTTCTGTACTTCCTGGTTCTCCAACTGTTTGAGAAAATCAGACTAGTTTTGATACAGGGTTCTTTAAAAACTAGAATATACACTTGGGGTTCAGGAGACTGGGGTGATTCCTTCTGATGTGAGGACCAGGATTTCCTCCAGGTCCCTGGATACATCTCCAGTAGGTGGGAGTACATCTGGGACGGGGGCAATGATTGAACGAGATGGGATGGATGGACAGATGGATGGAAGGATGGATGAGCAAATGGGTGGGTGGATGGATGGCTTTTAAAAATGTCCTTTTGGCCCCAAAGACTCAAAACTAGGTCCAAAACACAAATCTTCTTCAACCAGTTATCACTCACGCACGTTGCATTTCTGTGACAGCATTTGTAAGGTCTCTATTTACCTCTTGAAACACAAGGATGTGGGGGGTTCTCTATTCATTCTGATCATGCTCGGTTGGCCTGTAACAAAAACCATATCCAAGGTAACAGCCCCACACTCAGGACTGTTCGCAAGCTACTCCTCTGAGTTCTAAACCACGAAATAGGGGCTGACATGCTCAAGAAACCTGCACAGGTGCTCTGGCGATCCTGGAGGTGGAGAGCTTTGATGATTATGTCTCCTGGGCCTACTGTGCTGGAGTAGCTTTTACCGCAGCATAATGGATTCTGCGGGTATTAGGCAAAGCTAAGTAGCAGCCAAGGCAGCCAGCTGCTGTTCTAGAGGCTTCTCCCTATCAACTGCAGCCAAACCCAGGCAGCAACCAAAGGGAGATGAGGAAAAGCCTGCAAGTACCTGGGGGCCAGGCTGAGCCCTAGGGTTCAGCGAAGGGATCAGAGCCTGGGAGGCAGGCACAGTGGTGACTACACCTGACGGAGAATGGGACCCGCAGGGAAGGAGGGTATGAAACGAGAGCAAGAGAAAAGCCAGAGGCTAACTGGTCACTCTGAGAAACAGCTCCAAGCCACTGAGGCCAGATCCAGATCCCAGGAGGAAAGCTCTGGAGAGGAGACTCCAAAGCTCTCCCCCCAATTCCTGAAGTTTCTAAACGGGTGACGGGTGTGAGCAAGAGGAAACAAACCAGCAGGCCCTGGAGGAGTGCCTCCTCCCGGCCCAGTGCACAACTTCCTCTGCTTTGCATGCTCAGGGAATCCCCAAGACGCCGCCTGGCAAGCCGGCCCGCACCCTGAGTCTCTGGGACAGGCCATCAAGTCACACAGCCTCCTGCAAAAGGGCAGGAGCCGCTAGGAGGGAAATCACATATTTAGGAAAATTCACCTTGGCTCCAAATGTGGGCCACCTTTTAGTAAAAGGCCATTCTCCACTCTGAGATAGGGGGCAGCTTGAGGGTTTGGGGTGGGGGCAGGGGGGATAACCTAACGGAAAGGCATCTGAACTCTGGTCCTGGGCACCCAGATAGGGCAGAGGCCACGGAAAATGGCTGGGAGAGACAGAGTCCAGCCTCAGCCCCCCTGCCATGTCACGCCAACAGGCATGTCCCTGTTGATAAAGCCCTCCCTGAGCCTCGTTTCATTTGAGTCTCAAAATCACCCCCTTGGCCCTTTTATAGATGAGGAAACTGAGAACCAGAGCAGCTTGGAAGTGGCAGAGTCGGGACTGCGGTCCAGGGCTTAGGCTCTGTGGCCCGTGCTTTGGAAGCGATGTAGGGAGGCAGACGTGATTTGCATCATGGCTGTGAGGATTATTAGTATATGATGTTGACCAAGACAGATACCTGTCCTGAACCTTACTTTTTTCATCTGTAAGATGGGAACATATTAGACTGAAGCATATGAAATTGTTATCTGTCATAGGGCTCAACATAAAATGCCTCCCTCTATGAGAGCTTTCACCTTTTTACCTCCCACCTGTAATTCTCAGCACAGGGAGAGGAATTTCCCCAGACAGGTGACTTCAGTGGAGTTGCAACTGAGGGTGTGGGTGGGGAGATGGCTCAGGTGTGGGGGGAGGGGGACAGGGAGGGGTACTGGTCTAGGTCTGAGGTTCCGTCATTAGAAGCCGGGGCCCAGTCTGTGGTCAGAGTGGGGGCCCATTTTCTGTGAAAAGTGCACTGTTCTCCCGTGAAAATCAAATCTGGCACTCGGGTATTTCCATCCTCACCTTAGGCTAACCAGTCAGATGCCCCTCCGTGGAGCAACCACTTTCCCCCTCCCCTGCATGACCCTGTAAACCTTTTAGTACCACAGCCTAGCTGAGGAAGGCTATGATCTCTCGCCGCCCCAGTCCAGTGGCCCACGTCCTGCCTACGTGCTGACGGGCCCACTGATGTGGAGGAAACCCACTGACCGAAGTACTCATGGCCCCAGCTATTCAAGGGTACATTCGTTTCCATCTGTTCAGGGACCCAGCTCATGGGGGCTTGTTTCTTAAACTCCTACTTCCACACACTGCTCTCAGATGTGCCAGTTTAGCACAGTTAGTTCTCAACCTGGGGCGGTCCCCAGCTCCCAAGCTCTGAGAGGCCCCTCAGTTAGAGGGCTCAGACCCAGCCTTGGACTCCTCTGCAGCACGCCCCCACCCCTGGCTTCTGCGGCTCCTGCACACCCCTCTCCGCCTCCCCCAGACCAGTCCAGGCCGTCCTTCTTACCACTCCCTGGACCACACCCCTCTCCTTCACTGAGGCTCAGGGCCCATGCGGGTGTGTGTGTGTATGTACATACATTGGTGCGTGCTTGGCTCATCTCCCCGCCTGCCACGGGGGGAAACGGGTCTTGTGAAAACAGCCAAAGAGCACTTCATGCAGGCTGTGTCCAGCATGCTCTACCCCTCCTCTGCTTTATTTTTTTTTTTTAAGATTTTATTTATTTATTTGAGAGAGAGAGAGAATGAGAGACAGAGAGCACGAGAGGGAAGAGGGTCAGAGGGAGAAGCAGACTCCCCGCTGAGCAGGGAGCCTGATGCGGGACTCGATCCCGGGACTCCAGGATCATGACCTGAGCCGAAGGCAGTCGCTTAACCAACTGAGCCACCCAGGTGCCCTGCTTTACTTTTCCATAGCACTCAGACACTAGGACCCTGGATAATGTAGTCGCTAATTAATTTATTGTCCACCTCCCTCACTAGAATGTAAGCTCCATGAGGGCAGAGACTTTTCTCCATTTGTTTGCTGCCGTGTTTCTGGCTTCTAGCACAGGGCCTGGCACAAAGATGGTAATAATGAACTGTGGCGTGAATGAGTGCATTCACTGAGGCTCAGAGGTTTTAGATTTGCCGGTGGCCCTCAGCTAACAGTGGTAGAACTGGAAGCACCTGCCCCTTCTACCGCCTCACATCGGTCCCAGAACCAGCACAGGGCTGCCCAATACACACTGCTGACTCACTCATAAGCGTCTTTTATAATCCTGGAAGAGATGCTGGGGACTCCCAACTCAGTCCCTACTCAGCCTCCCGAAGACAGCCTTGTGCCTCAGACTCAAACCTAGGAAGTGAGCCTCACCCCTGTGGGGGGCGGGGCAGATGCAAGAACCTTGCTTCAGGGATGTCTGTGGGAGGCTGAGCTGGGCCAGGACTTGGCGGCCTGTGCCTGAGTCCCCGCAGCCCTACCCCACCAGGGCAGAGAGGGAAAGGCCTGGAGCTTACCATGGACTCACTGATGAGCAGCAGCAGGAGGGCTTCCTCTATATTATCCTTCGGGCAGTAGAGGCTGAAAGACACAGACGGCAGCACCACCTCCAGCACAAGCCTCCCCAAGCACAGCGGCTGGCCCGCCACCCCGGCCCTTCGGCCCCGGAGTCAGCAGCGGCCCTGGTAAGGTGATGTCCTCCTGCATAATTCACAGACACCGGATACTACCTGCAGCTCTTTCTCAAGTCCCAGAGTTCTGCATCTGAAAGGCTGGGGTGAGCGGCGGGGCCAGAAATACTGCAGATGCTCTGGGGGAAGAGATGTCCCTTCCAGAGCCCGGGGCTGCATGACACAGCCAGGGCAAGGAGCAGGGGAGAGCCGCTCAGATCCCGTTGTCAATTATTTAACAAATAAGAGAGGAGGTATATGCAGACTAACAGGAAGGCAGGTAACCTCCAAATAATTCGACTTTTGGATGCCTTCTAGAACGCTCCTCCCAACCCCTATCCTGAGACCGTTTTCCCTGGTCTATTTGCCTCCTGCGGATAACTGAAGAGCCTGCCTGACAGTGAGCTCGGTGGCAGCCGGAGGAAAGTGCAGGGCAGAGGGAAGGGACGTCGGAGCCCCAAGTGTGGCATGAGACCGGCATGGTCCAGCAGAGCTTACTTGTCTCCTTCGTAGAGGTGAGGTTTCCGCAGGGCCTGCGTGATGAAGGAGTTCTCCTCCTTGCTCATGAACTCAGGCAGCGGGTGGGACAGGGGGCTCCAGTAGCACTCCTCACTCAAGGAGTGTAGCAGGACCCCCGCCAGATGCTTGGCCGCCATCTGGCAGAAAGGGAGGAACTCAGACCCAGAATGCCCCCCACCCACTACCCGGCCAAATCCGCCAGCCCTGCAGTGCGCTGCCCCTTCGGAGGCCCACCACTCCACTCCACTCCCAAGGAGCCCCCTGTTCTCTCTGTTTCCAGCACTGAGGCCACCCCACCCCTTCTGTTGGTTTTTGATGGCTTCTACTTAATCTTCTGTCCTCTGTCCTCTCCTAGACGGGAGGTACGTTTCCTCCTCCTCTGGCCCCATGGAGCCCAGCACAGCTGAGTGTTTAGCAGGCCCTTGCAGAGTGTGAAGCCACTGGCCTGGGCAGCGCTCTCAACCTCATACCTTCCTGATACTTGATCAAAAATTCTAGAGTGAGAAGCAGCTGTGGCTCTGATTTGGGGTGAATTAAAGCTTAAGAAGGTAGGCCTGAATTGGGGCAGGAAAAGGAGTCCAGGTTATTTATTAAAATCATAAACAGTCCCTAAGAGTTAGCCTACCACCTTGCTAGGAAGGGATGACATTGGGTTTTAACTCTGATCTAATGCTAGGGGCTCTGTGCAGTGCTGAGATAGGGTTGCTGAGGGTGCTTCCCGGGCTTGGTGGGAGAGAATGCTGAGATCGATTAAACAATGTCTGCCATGAGCACGGACAGGGAGAGGAGAAGCGTGCATGTAACATACTGTCATCCCTGATTCAGAGGCTGCCTGCTAGCGCTTCTGTTGTTTCCCACTGAAAAGTGGCCCCTGTATAAGCCAACCACAGCCAGCACCCAGCCCCGAGGCATCGCTGTGTTACCACTTTGAAGTTCTGAGTTGCTTTGGTCTCCACGGTGCGTAGGACCTCCCGGAGCTCTCTCATCCCTTTCACGATGTTCCTAGGGGGAAGACAGCAGAAGCAGGGTCATTCCCAGCCTAGTTCCCACAGACATCATCATCAAACCCGCAGACTCAAGCAGGAGCCTGCCCATTTGAGTTTTACTTGAAAACACTCAACTGGAATGAAAAGGTCAGAGCTGTGACACCAGGATCCTAGAAGCCCAGGACATTGTCGATCAAAGAACAGGAAGGATGCCTCTCCTCCACAGCCCCCCAGGAACCCCGGCTTCCAGCTCACCACCAGAAGGGGACCAAGATTGAGTATTTCAAACAAGATGTCATTTGGCCCAAAAGCCTTGGCTGGTGTCAGACTGACTTGAATCCCCCTCAAATTTTCCATCTTCCCCCAGCACATCTGGTCAACGCTGGGGTCCACCCTCACCTCTCAGCCCCTGTCACCAGGACCCTGGACCAGCCTGCATCACCTGGGGCCCGGATAACCACAAGAGCCAGTCTCACCTCCCCACCAAACCCCTGCCAGCCCTCTGGGCCTTGAAATAATTTGCAAGCTTTTTAAAGTGTGACCCAGAATAAAAAAAAAAAAATACATTTTAGATTGTAACGCAGTATGCGCACACTTTCCTTACATAAAACGGAAGCAAGTTTCTAGACACACTGCTTAGCTCTAGTGTGTGCAGGCCACTCTGGTGTTTCCAATTTGACGTCTTGCTCTGTTTTTTAAATTCTGGCTGCAGCCCACTAAACAGGTCTTGCGACCCACTGATGGGTTGTGGCCTGCAGTTTGAAACACTGCTCCATTGCCCCCGGAGGGGCCTGTATGCCTGACACACAAATGTCATCTTTTACCACACCCACACCCCCTCAAGGCTGGCCCCTCTGTTAGCACCCCCAGGGCTCACAGAACCCAGTCTAGGCCTTCACAGTGGTGTCGTGGGGCTGGCGGGTCTGCTCCTCGCCCCTCACCCAACTCGTCTCCTGCCACTCAGGTCCTTTTTGAATAACCGACCACACGACCTCTGTCAAGTCTTGTCACAGACTCCTCCCACTGCCTGAAACAGCCCTTCCGCATCCATCCTCAGAAAGCCTTTCCAATAACACTTCCTCCTTGCAGCCTTCCCAGACCCCTCCCCACACTCGCCCCTCCAGCCTGCGTCCCTCTTGCACCCTGTTAATTCCTCTTCTGAAGCATGACCTTGCATGGTCGTTTTCCGTTTACGGGCTGACCCTTCGTGCACCGTGCACTCGGAGGGCAGGGCTCCTGTCTTGCTCCTGAAGCTCAGCACTAGCGCAGCTCCTGGCACACAGCAGGTGCTCAGCAAATGTTTGAGCCCTGCCTTCCTCCTTTGCTCTGGGGGTTCCCTGGATCACAGCTCACAGGGGAAAGCAGAGGCCGCCAGGTGGGCAAATTTAGAAATGAAGACCACAGACAGGAGAAAAGCCAAAGGTGGCAGCCAGGAAAGTTCCAGGTGCCCCTCCTGCATCTTTCATGCACAGAACAGATTCCTGGGGGCTTTGGAGCCTGGAGCCATAAAAGGACAAATAGGCAGACCAAGTCCCTGCCTTCTGGGAACCTCTGGTTTCAGAGAAGAAAGCAAAGATGTGCAAACTACCAACGTTATACACACACACGCTCGTTTGCAGGGCTGAGAATGGAGACAAAGACCACAGGGATAGAGTCAGAGGCACAATGACCTTTCCCAGTCTGTCCAGAGCTTCAGAAGAACCAGGAGGGGCTGACGGGCCAGGGAACCACAGGTGTCCTGAGAGACAATTCAAGTTTGGGCGCGGCCACCGATGCCACGTACTGAGGACGGGCTCGCCTCCCTGGGCTGTGCACGGTCTCCTCCTCTACCAAACCAGGCCTTCAGTGTGGACAGCGTCTCCCAGACTTCTGTCATCTGCATCCCACGGTTACAAGTTTTGCTCCTAGCTGCACGTCATCAATGTTTTTATTTATGCAACACTTTTCTTTACATCTTCTTTTTTACTTTAGGAGATGTATCTTAATCAAAAACACCTGGAATCATGGATTTGGTGTGCTAGTTCTTTTTTCCTTTTTTTTTTCTTTTGCCAACAGATATTAAATATAGAAGTACTTACAAAAAGTTAGTCTGTGTATCACTCAAAACCACCTTGTGTATCACCAGAGGTACATTTTGAGAAACAATAGATTAGAACACAGTTTCTCAAAGTGTGGTCCCTGGACCAGCAGCATCAGCATCCTGGGAACCTATTAACAATGCAAAGTCTGAAACCACCCCCCCCGCCCCCACTCCAGACCCGCTAAATCAGAAACTCTTGGCTGAGCCCAGCAATCTGGTTTTTTTTTTTAATGTTGAGTAACTTTTTCTTATAATATTTTGAATGTCACATCATGTGTTCCTTTGTCCTCCAGATAATGTTGATTTCTACCTCCTCACCCCAACCATCTTAAATTCTGAGGTAATCAACCTACAACCTGGGTACGTTTAGACCATGCATTTTATCTCCCTTTCTGTGGGTGGGATTTCTAATATCAGTTCGGTTTTCAAAGCCTTTACTATGTTGCTTTGACTAAATTCTGTGTGTGCCACTCAGGGCTTATTTTAGCAAGTGGATCATGTTTTGTACTATTATTTAGCTCCTATAACCTTTGCAGTGAATTGGGTTTGTATTGTGCATGTAACACATGCATGCAGGGGTGAGCCTAGAACTTGTGCTGGATCACAGAATAGAGAATGCTCACCTCTATCTCTTGACTTTACAGGCCCCCCCCAACAAACACACACACGTGCGCGCGCGCTTCTAGGATCCACTTTTCCTTGTTCTCTTTCCAGAAAGATAGGAATTCTCCTTGAGATTTCTGCTGTCTGTGCCCACTGACTAGTTCCATAACTGAGGTCATCTTCAGGTCAAAGCTAGGAAGTCACCATCCAGGAAGTCAGATGTGAGTCTTCATGGGCAGAACCCAGGGTATGCAAATCAAAAAGGGCCTGGTTCAAGACTCCACCCCAAAACTGCTAGAACTCATACAGGAATTCAGTAAAGTAGCAGGATATAAAATCAATGCGCAGAAATCAGTGGCATTCCTATACACCAACAACAAGACAGAAGGGAGACAAATCAAGGAGTCAATCCCATTTACAATTGCACCCAAAACCATAAGATACCTAGGAATAAATTTAACCAAAGAGGCAAAGGATCTGTACTCAGAAAACTATAAAATACTCATGAAAGAAATTGAAGAAGACACAATGAAATGGAAAAACGTTCCATGCTCATGGATTGGAAGAACAAAACATTGTGAAGATGTCAGTGCTACCTAGAGCAATCTACACATTCAATGCAATCCCCATCAAAATACCATCCACCTTTTTCAAAGAAATGGAACAAATAATCCTAAAATTTGTATGGAACCAGAAGAGACCCCGAATAGCCAGAGGAATATTGAAAAAGAAAAGCAAAGCTGGCGGCATCACAATTCCGGACTTCCAGCTCTATTACAAAGCTGTCATCATCAAGACAGTATGGTACTGGCACAAAAACAGACACATAGATCAATGGAACAGAATAGAGAGCCCAGAAATGGACCCTCAACTCTATGGTCAACTAATCTTCGACAAAGCAGGAAAGGATATCCAATGGAAAAAAGACAGTCTCTTCAACAAATGGTGTTGGGAAAATTGGACAGCCACATGCAGAAGAATGAAACTGGACCATTTCCTTACACCACACACAAAAATAGACTCCAAATGGTTGAAAGACCTAAACGTGAGACAGGAGTCCATCAAAATCCTAAAGAACACAGGTAGCAACCTCTTCGACCTCAGCCACAGCAACTTCTTCCTAGAAACATCGCCAAAGGCAAGGAAAGCAAGGGCAAAAATGAACTATTGGGATTTCATCAAGATAAAAAGCTTTTGCACAGCAAAAGAAACAGTCCACAAAACCAAAAGACAACTGACAGAATGGGAGAAAATATTTGCAAATGACATATCAGATAAAGGGCTAGTATCCAAAATCTATAAAGAACTTATCAAACTCAACACCCAAAGAACAAATAATCCAATCAAGAAATGGGCAGATGACATGAACAGACATTTTTCCAAAGAAGACATCCAAATGGCCAAGAGACACATGAAAAAGTGCTCAACATCGCTCGGCATCAGGGAAATCCAAATCAAAACCTCAATGAGATACCACCTCACACCAGTCAGAATGGCTAAAATTAACAAGTCAGGAAGCGACAGATGTTGGCGGGGATGTGGAGAAAGGGGAACCCTCCTACACTGTTGGTGGAAATGCAAGCTGGTGCAACCACTCTGGAAAACAGTATGGAGGTTCCTCAAACAGTTGAAAATAGAGCTACCATACGATCCAGCAATTGCACTACTGGGTATTTACCCCAAAGATACAAATGTAGGGATCCGAAGGGGTATGTGCACCCCAATGTTTATAGCAGCAATGTCCACAATAGCCAAACTGTGGAAAGAGCCAAGATGTCCATCGACAGATGAATGGATAAAGAAGATGTGGTATATATACACAATGGAATATTATGCAGTCATCAAAAGGAATGAGAGCTTGCCATTTGCAACGACGTGGATGGAACTGGAGGGTGTTATGCTGAGTGAAATAAGTCAGTCAGAGAAAGACATGTATCATATGACCTCACTGATATGAGGAATTCTTAATCTCAGGAAACAAACTGAGGGTTGCTGGAGTGGTGGGGGGTGGGAGGGATGGGGTGGCTGGGTGATAGACATTGGGGAGGGTATGTGCTATGGTGAGCACTGTGAATTGTACAAGACTGATGAATCACGGATCTGTACTTCTGAAACAAATAATGCAATATATGTTAAGAAAAAAAAAAGAAGAAGAAGATAGCAGGAGGGGAAGAATGAAGGGGAGTAAGTCGGAGGGGGAGATGAACCATTAGAGACGATAGACTCTTAAAAACAAACTGAGGGTTCTAGAGGGGAGGGGGGTGGGGGGATGGGTTAGCCTGGTGATGGGTATTAAAGAGGGCACATTCTGCGTGGAGCACTGGGTGTTATGC